GATTTCTTGTTTGGTTCTGGCACTTCCCAAAGGAAGAAGTCACACTTGCCATTACGATACAACCTGGGTAAGTAATGACACTTGCTGTAGGCAAGGTGAGCTGCGAGCCATAGACTGACCCACTGAAGGGAACTACCAATTACTCCCACGGATACTATCTCTCGATAACCTAATTTTGTTCAGGAGCAAATTGTGGCTGGACTTGAATTGAATTGAAATGTAGCGTCCCGGATTAGTTAGTAGCATCTGTAAGGTGTGGAAGACTCTGCAAAATTAAGTGTTTTTCAATGGAGAGATCAAGTTATTATTCTGCTGCCTGTGCTAGTTCCAAGTGGACCAAAGGAGTCTGGGTATAACCGTGCTGTGTCATGAAATATGCATCTTGCTCTGGAGAATCCGTAACCACAGTCGAGCCAGGAATAAAATGCTGGATTATCAAGTACAGGTCTGAAAGATGCTACCCAGCATAGGTCTTATCACTTACCCAGTATCCCAACAACTGTCAGGGCTAAAGAAACTGATGAAAGAAGAATCCTAACTTGGAGTATGGGGCTTAATGGAGATAGTCTAGCACAGGGGTAGGCAACCTTGGCTCTTTTATGACTCGTGGACTTCAACTCCCAGAATTCCTGAGCCAGCCATGCTGAGGAGAAATGGAGAGGTTTCCATGCTGAGCCATGCTGGCTCAGGAATTCTGGGAGTTGAAGTCCACAAGTCGTAAAAGAGCCAAGGTTGCCTACCCCTGGCCTAGCATATATGGGGAAGGGCAAAGGTCCTTAGTTCTGGGAGCCACTTGTTCTAAACTGGAGTTCGGGGGGGACACACACACACACCCCACACACATGGTATTCATCTCTCTTGCTCCTGGAAGTCCTGCTGCCCTAGAATGCCTATTATTTATTTATTTCCCGCCTTTATTGTTTTTACAAATAACTCAAGGCAGTGAACAAATCCAACACACCTTCCTCCTCCTCCTTTCCCCACAACAACATCCCTGTGAAGTGGGTGAGCCAGTCTTCTCAGGACCTGAGATCTAAACCCTCTCAGATGGTTTGTGCAATTAGGACAACAATGCCTTTCACCCTGCTACAAATGATGTTATGAGCAGAATTCCTTTGGATGCCTGCTGTTGTCCTCCTTCGTTTTCTGAACTTCAGTGAAATAAAAGCTGTTTCAGATCCCACCTGTTATTTCTCTGCCTTGCACATCCAGCCCCCAGGAAAGGATTTCCAACCCCTGACCACAGATCACACCGCGGTAACTGTGTCCTTCGGTTTCCCAACACTCCAGGGCGGCCACATCAGCCACGTGGCAGAATTTGCTCCCTACGAAAGACAAGCCGTCCTCGCAGAGACTCCAGAGGGTCAAGCGTTGGTCCGCTGACACAGAAAGGAGGAAGTTCAGGTGGAGGAGCCTCACTCCTGTCACGTGAGCTGCGTGAGCGCAAAGCCTCGATACTTTTCTGACCACTTGGATGCCAGCCCTGCCTGCGGTCTCCTGGCCCACAGCGCTTTCAGCCTTCGCATCAATAACATGGACAGAGATGGATCCGTCGTCACTGCCACTGATCACTACAAAGCGTCTCTCGGCTGTGTTCTGGATGTGGAGGCTGTTCACACCGCAGCTGTGAGCCCGAATGGCCAGGACTGGAGATTCCAGGGCTGGAAAAGAACAGAGGTGCTGGTTATTTTTGTGCAGAGAATTTACTGTTGGCTCCTTGTGCATTTTTTTAAAAATTGGAAAGGTGGTGTAGTCTTAAGATATTTAATATAATAGCTGAAACAGTAAAGCAGTGGTTCTCAACCTTTTTAATGCCGCAACCCCAACCAGTCGTAAGTCGAGGACTACCCAACCGGTCGTAAGTCGAGGACTTTCCCTCCCCGGAAGCGCCGCGCATGCGAGGTTCCGCCCCCTGCGCCGGCCGAGGCGTAGCTGGCAAGCGGCAGAGACGGAGCAGGCTGACCACCAGCTGGCCCAGCCCAAGGGAGGTAAGGCACCCGCCGGAAAAGGGGGAAAAAATGGCGGACAAAAAAAATGGCGGACAGCCTTGCTTGGTGACCCCCGTGAAATGGTCGATCGAGCCCAAATGGGGTCCCGACCCACAGGTTGAGAACCACTGCAGTAAAGTGTAAAATAGGCCAGAACACCCAGTTGTAGTTGATTGTTGGAGAGTGTGGACTCCTGCATGAAGCAATCTATTCTATGTTATGATTGGTTGCTGAGTGAGAAATGGGAGTTTCCCTTTTTCTGGCCTTTTTTCTTTTGTGTGCTCTATATGCTGACGGCCTCCTCCCTCGCCGGTAAGTGTCGGGCCCCGTGAGGCAAGCGTCCCGGCAGCGGCGATGAGCGAGGAGGCGGGTCCGGACCAGGGGTTCAACAGACCCACCGCTATCTCGTTTTGCGGTCCCCGAGCACCGGGCGGCGAGCAGCCGGGCCTGTCCAGTCGGAGCACCCCGAGCTGTAAGACATTAAATGGACTGTT